TAGATATAGAAATTAATCCATATATTTAGCAATTAATCCAAAGATTTAACAACTAATCCCTAGATATAGAAATTAATCCATATATTTAGCAATTAATCCAAAGATTTAACAACTAATCCCTAGATATAGAAATTAATCCGTATATTTAGCAATTAATCCAAAGATTTAACAACTAATCCCTAGATATAGAAATTAATCCATATATTTAGCAACTAATCTAAAGATTTAACAACTAATCCCTAGATATAGAAATTAATCCATATATTTAGCAATTAATCCAAAGATTTAACAACTAATCCCTAGATATAGAAATTAATCCATATATTTAGCAATTAATCCAAAGATTTAATAACTAATCCCTAGATAGAGAAATTAATCCCTATATTTATCAGTTAATCCATAGATTTAGCAAGTAATCCCTAAATATAGAAATTAATCCCTATATTTAGCAATTAATCCCTTGATTTATCAAATAATTCAAAGATTTAACCATTAATCCCTATAGTTAGCAATTACATCATCTATTTTATGTACACACCATGTATCTAAAATATTAAGAGTATAAATGAATCTATTCTGGAGAAAGTAACATTGTTTCAAGAAACAAAAGATATTGTCTAAAATCACAAAATAATACAGGATTAGAAATTAAAAAGTTTATAGTTTATAGTTTAAGGGATAATTCCATAAATCTGACAAAAATAATAAATTGATTGTCTGAAGTCTCATCCTTTGTGAACCTGTGTGTAACACAGAAAACATTAAATACCTGTATCGATAATGTTTACTCCAGGATTACCTGGTTTAAGCCATTATTGACGACCTGAAAGAATTTATACATTTAGTTTATGTCTTCATATAATTTTATAGGTATACTAAACTAGAAAGAATACCAGGTGATCAAAAAGCACTGGATTAAAATTCTTGAGTTGATCAAAACCTGTGTACGTTATAGTGTTGTGTACAATGCACAAAATTAGGAAATATGTATTATTGTAGCGATCATCTCCTGATTTTTGATCAAGTTGGTTTTTGATATTGTGGTATTCTTGCATGCACTAAATTATATAGGAACGAGGGAAACAAGTTTACAGTATTCGGGAACCGTGAGAAGGAAAATGGCTTAGTAAAGTCGGCTTTGAAATATTATTTCCTTTGTTTATTGTATATTATTTAAGTGTCTACAAAAAACTTAACTGAATTTTTGAGATGGGATACGTATGAGAGCGGTTATTTTTTCCATTTCACTTTATCTTGTGAGTGATTTCTGAACATTTGAGTTCAAGTTCAAGATCCAAATCTTATTTTTTGAATGAGTCTAAAATTTCAAGCTCAAAAGTAGTTTTAAAGTTGGCAGATTTTGAACTAACCTAACAATATTATGTCTGATCTACAGTTCTCTTATTCAAAAAGAAATTGAGTCTTTACCAGGAACTCAAATTTTCTAATCCTCAAATCTTTGCAACCTGCGCTGAAAACTTAAGAATGAAATATCCTTAAATGGAGTGACCGGCTATGTTAGATAATTGACCTGAGTATGCAGTGTTGTGGAAAACTGCTTTCGGATTCATTTGAGACATATTAAACTTTTTAAAGATCTGTTAATCCTGAGTTTGAGCGCAAACTACCTTACATAGCCGGGACTCCCTTTAATCACAATCGCTTAATCTGATTATCCAATGTACACACTTTTGATTTTCTTCTTATAACCTTCTTTTTAGATATTTCATCTTTATAAAAAGTTATGTCTGATTACAATTACAGATATAATCATATAATGCTATATCGATTGGACTAATATCCGATTGAATTAAAGTCAGCTGTTCACAAGCCGGCTTCAAGAGCATTTAAACATATATAAATTTAATCATGTTAATATGAAATTATTAAAAAATATATTTTATGACTATTGTTATTTTGAACGTTAGCTTTAATAAAGATAAAGAAATCAAACCCCGTTTTCAAAAGTTAAAAAGTAGATCTAAACATGACACGCTGATTGGTTAAATTTTTAACTTCTTTCTTGGATATCGAATGCGTTTTAAACTAATCTTGGGTTTAGTAAAACCAGGAGTTTAAGCATTAATCTTGATATCCACCATTCTAAAGTTTTCAGCTCTGATGATGTAAATCTTTGATGTTTCAAACTTAGATTAAGAAAATTTATATAAGGAATACAAAATTGGGATAAAACTTAACTCCTTTCCCACATTTTTCATAATTTTTATCTTTACTTGTTTTCTCCTCAAATATGCATTAACCATAAATCTAGGAAATTGGAAATGTTGAAACCCTGAAAATCCGTTATTGGATAAACATTGATAAGTCCTACCCTTCCTCTCGAGTAAGCAAAGGATGCATTATTTTGTAAACAATTTATTCTAGAAACTTCTCATCAATTTCTTCCTAGCATAGAGAGCAAACAATTATCTCATTTATTTCATTCCACTGCGGAAGAATTTGTTTCAACCACAGCAATTTCAAAAATAAAAAGTGTTGGGGGGGGGCGAATTAAAATATAATTTTTTTACCTTCACGATAAAAATGTTTTTTTGTCTTTAAAATTTGTCAAACAGACAGAAAATATGAAAATTAATTGTTCAATGAATGTATACCTTTATCACTCTATCCCCGTAGTAAATTTGAATTCGAACAGGACCTGCCCAGTTTGTACCGGCCTGCCAGATAACAGCGTGTACTGACCCGATCCTTTGGTACAGTACGTCGCCCTAACCAGACTAACATACGACAGGGGTCAATTTTCTTGGCATAGTCCCGTCGGAGGGCTAACTATGATAACTCCCATGGCACTTAGTCCACCGTGTTATCGAACGTCAAGTTGAAAACAAAATCTAAACTAATTGATTTTTCAGATGATTGAAGAGTTTTATATGCTGGGTGTTCCGAGAAAAAGAGGAAATATGGGTTCAACATTTTTAAATTCAGATTTTCAAAATTATTTACAATATGTGAAAAAATTTCCGATTCAATGAACCCTCATTCGGGCTTTATGACGAAAAATGTCAGCGAAGAAATTTTGTAATAAAAAAACAATATGTAAAACTACTGTATTTATAGCAGCAATACATTATTTCGGATAAAATTTAGTTCAGCTTGTAAAAGCTAGTTCACCATAAACCAAAATACAGCTTGTTGGAATGATTATCAAATATTTAACCTACCCCCCCCCCTTCTTCTTTCGCTAATCCTTTATCAGATTTTTGTAACTTAATCCATTATGAGCTGTGTAAATATAAAAAACTACATAGAGCATAATTTTATTAAACTTTATTAACTTTTATTTCAATTGTGAACATTTTCTCTTTGCTTACAGTGTAAACCAAACAAAAAAATATATTCCCGGATTTTATAAAAACAATTTCATAGATTTTAGAAATTGAATGACAATCGAATTTTGTTGGAGGCACAGTTTTTTAATTTTTGTCATCTGTAAACCTTCCCTGGGGACATGTGAAGTCCTACACAAAATTTGGGCCCGATCGGTTCAGCCGTTTTGACGTTAATTGGACACAAACAAATACCCACCCAGACACAGAAAGTATATATATAGATGAAAACTTTTCAAAATATAATTTTCCGCACTTTTATTTTTTTATTATTTGTCTGCTTTCAAAACTAAAGAAACTTTAAAAATTTGTTCCTCAAAATGCAAAATTTTTTTTTTATTAACCCTATCCCCGCTGGGGTACTTGAAAACCAGGATACGCTGGGGGGGGGGTCAATTTGACCCCCCCCTCTAAATCCCATGTTTTATGTCCAAATATGACAAATGATACATCATTAGAAAGCTCTTGTGCTCTACTTTTAGAATCTGCAAAAAAATTTGCAAATTTGCGAAAATTGAATTTTTTATCGCAAAATCCAGTTTTATAGTAAAAATGTTTGCAAAAAAAAATTTTTCCAAAAAATGACAAATTATACATTTTTGAAAAGCCCTTGATCATGCCATTTCAAATATGCAAAAATTTTTGCAAAATTTTAAATAACCTGATTTTTAATCAAGAAAAACTAAAAATGTGCAAATTTCCTTAGACAGGTTGTTTGCAAAAAATTTGCAATTTTTTTTTCGCAAAACTTGTGCAATCCGTTTCCTTATGTCATAGGCTTTCCAAAAAGCTAAATTTTATCAAAATCTGACAAGTGAAAGTGGGTCAAAACAAAGATTTAGTATGCTACAGTCAAAAGCAGTCATTCAGGCAGTGTGCCTGAGGACTCAGGCAGTTAGTATTAAAGCCCGGTTTTAGGCCTAAAGGGAGGGCTTTGGGTATGTAAGAAAAGTCAGAAAATTTCAACAGCCTCAGACCAATACTTTTTGAGTTATGTAAAAAAAACTACAGGGGGGGGTCAAATTGACCCCCCCCCCAGCGGGAATAGGGTTAATATAACATTTTTGCATAATTCGAACGCTTTAGTCATAACCCTGAAAAAAGTTACAACAAAATGTTGGTTTTAAAAAAAAGTAATGGGGCGGGGAGGGGGTGGGGCCGGGTGATGAGATTTCACAGAAAATGTTAAAACGACTGTAGATGCTTCAAGGAAAATTTCTTCTTTGTTCCATCTTAAAAATTTTATATTTCGTTCTTCATGCATCTAATGATCTATTGCTTAAAATCCACAAACCACATTGAGAAATAGTTAGTTTGGAAGACATAGCTCAGACAAAGGCTTAATGGACATCATTGTGAATTAGCCGTACTCATCTTTAAATGTAATTTCACTTCAAATAATGATAGCCGGCCGTTTCACCTTATTGTATTACTTAAACTACAGTCAGGGTTGCTTTTTTAATATTACAGTTGTATACTGTCAACTTTGCTTTAAAGTTTATCTTGCTTCAAGACTTAATTTCCTGTCTAAAATTTGACAATCTCAGATCGAAGGTTTGCAAAAAAGTTATTTGAGATATGCCACCTTCTAAAAAACATAAAGTTAGATTTTTAATACATTTCTTGATTTTGATATTCAAAATATGATAATCTAGAAAAAACGGAAAAGTTAGAGAATATAATTCTTCAGTCAAATTATTCAGGTATTTTACAAAATAAAAATTAAAACTAAAAAAATTACGCATTTTGGCAAACATGAATAACAAAATGTACAACTGGTGGGATGTTATGTTACTTTAATTTTCCTTGGTTAAATAAAAAAGCGACATTACTATTACGCATTCTGTGTGTTCTCAAACAGAATGACGAAGTTTTGAGTCAAAAGGTTATAAAACTTTTTTAAAAATATAATTTTACCTTGACCAATTTAGCCTGCAAAATAGTTCTGGCCACGCTTTGGATGTTTTCCTGGAAAAATTGGTCAATTGTAAATATTATTCTATATAGATAATTATTCCTCTGAGTCTGTTTGAAAGTTGGTGGATGAAGACTGGATGATACAATCAGCTGTCGAGTAAATGGAAATATAAATGAATTTTCTTCTTTAATAAATATGTTTTATTGTATTTGTCAGAGATCAGTCAGAACCAATCTTTCTTATTTATTCTCAAAACAAAACAAACAAAACATTTAAAAGTTTTTAGCGAGGTGTTTTACTGCTGAAACCTAGGAAAATATAGTCTTATATAATTTGGGTTTCACTGTACCGTGCACATTATGTTTCCATTAAAATCATTAAAATATATTTCATTTTATAAAGAGGCCACTCTTGCTTTCTTCGTATTTTTTGCAGTAGTGTAAAAAATTGCAAATCTTGCAGAAAACATGCAGATAAAATTTATTGAATTTAAATTGAAATCTTCGCGGCTGGGATAGAACACCGTCATACACTTTGCACAAAATATTAAACATTTTTTTACAAATTTTATTTTCCGTAGATTAATAATCCTAGGTTGCAGAAAAATGTTCAGTTTGCAAATATCTGCACAGTCTGTGCAAATAAATGCATGGTTTAAATGTTGGCCCAAAACAGATACAAATATTTGTTTGGACTTAAAGTGTACTGCACTTTCTGAAAGGAATATAAACAAAGGCAAGACTGGTAAGGCTAAATATTAAATATGGTTTGTTTGTCTGTTTCTTTGTCTGTTTGTATCAAATAAACGTCAAAAGGGCCAGCTAAAACCAGCCAAAACCAGCTAAAACCAGCTAAAACCAGCTAAAACCAGCTAAAACCAGCTAAAACCAGCTAAAACCAGCTGAAACGATCGGGCCAACATTTTTCGCGGCCCAATTTACATAGAGAAATAGCATCATAAAGAGAAACAGTAAAGAGCTCAAATTTTATTTATGGTAACCCTGTTATTCATGCAGAGCTTCAGAGACAAGGAAGAAAATAGATAGAATTTATGTTTTTCAATACAAAAAAATATGTTATCTTCCTCATTAGCATTTTATTGGATAAATGATAAAGAAGATATCGTCGTTTTTTCGAATTGGGCATGTCACGCGTTAAATCGAAGATCACTCGAAATTAGGTCGAGAGATCTTAACGAAAAGTGATGAATTATAGTTTTCACCCAATTTTTGATTATACGTATCTCCCAGATTATGAAATAGAAATATTAGCTGAGGTGTCCGGCGTTGCCCAAGGAATTTTAAAAAACTCAAATTTTACAGATAAAAACGATTATTGAAAAATAAATTCGATTTTTGAAAAATAAATTTTATTTTTGACAAATAAATTTTATTTTTGAAGAGTAAATTCGATTTTTGAAAAATACATTCGATTTTTGAAAAATAAATTAGATTTTTGAAGAAAAATATTTCGAATTTGTAACCCCAGAGTGCCCTTAAAATATTTCAGCTAATTTGGTCCAGCTATATATATATATCTTCGTAAAATAAGTCTAGAACATGTTCTATTGTTTATTAAGATTGGTTATTGCTGGACACTGTGTAATTTATATTGGACAATCTTCAGCAGCATATATATTATATATATATATATAAGCAAACTGCTTTATTATATAGATGTTAGTAGTATCTTGACAGCTAAAAGTGTTCACGAATCAAACTTTAAATCATCAAAGGTTCAAGACGCAGTTTTAGACTCATCACATTGAACAAAAAGTGTATTTTCGTTAATACTGACATATTTAACATATTTAACACGATGATTTTAATCTTGACATAGCGCTTCTGTAAGGGGAAAACTTTGCAATTTAATATTTAAAAAGAAAAAGAAAAATGTATTAAAGCAAATAATATCCATTTCTGAAAAATTTTATTAGATAGTATATAATATATTTTGTACAAGGCCTCAATTACGGACACAGATCACCCCGGACTAACCAGAGTAAAAGGCGTTCGGTTTCTTCTATTTGAAGTCATATGCGTTTTGGTCTATAACTAAACAATCTTTAAACTTACAGATTTGTTAGTTTTATAATTTTCATTCAAAAGTATATGCCAGCAAAAAAGTATGTAAGAAGAAAGGCTAAAAGATTATGTTTAATAGGTCAAATTGTGATTGAAAGTCACAGCTTTCTGGAATATTGACAGAACCGTTAAATCCACGTGAGATGTAGAACATAAACCAATATAAGTAGAACTTAGAATGGGGTACTGAATTTCTTACATTTGACGACCTATAACGCATTAGAAAGGCTAAATAATGATTTCTATTGTAAACCATTACACTCACTGCTTCAAAATGCAATAAACTTAGTTCTATAAGCTGTCCTACTACGTCACAACTCACAGTATACAGTATAGTTGGTCCTATCAAATATCATTAATTTAGCATATTTAAAAAAAAATACTTTTAATATTTCTTTTTAAATCCGTTTTTTATTTTAAAAAATGCAAAAAGCTAAATTAATAAGTTTGGAATTTCACCAATATTTATAGTCCGGCCCCTTAAGATTGAGTGGTTCATGTCATCTTGTACTTTGTTTTGCCAGCTAGGTAGGTATTTGAAGTATGTGAGTTATTTTCACTTTGAGATATAGAATTTCATTTACAAATGGAACTGCATTCTTTTTTCCCTTACAAAATCCTAGAAAAAGAAATTGAAAAGAGCGAATTCAGAGCCTGAAACATCACACATAGTTTAGAGGATAAAAATATATTCTAGAACAATAAATGGCAACGTAGAATCTGTACACTCTCAGTACAGCTGTATTCTGACGTTACAAGTGTCAACTTAGTTTTTGTGTCCGACAATTTTAGAATAAAGTACTTATCTTACAGTAAAATAAGTGCAATTTTATGTGTTCTTTAATTTATGTTTTTACACTTTTTTATTTAATCTTGGAAAACATGTCAACTCTGTCAACTAATGTTAGAAAATTTCATTTTTCTTGTTATATTTGACACTTGTGACGTCATGCATAATTGGTCCATTCTGTTGCAACCTATTTAATTTCATGAACGAATTTGATTTTATAACTATATTGCCCCCACCACCCCTCCCCCCACCTTCAAAATACCCCTGTTGCGCCTCTGGACCAGCCTAGAGTAGGTTGAGTTCGGTTTATTCAATTTGAAATTAATCGCGATTTTGTCTAAAACCGAACAATCTTTTAATTTACAGAGTTGTAAACAAAAAACAACCGTTAACGGCAGAATATCCTCCGTTAACGCCGTTAATAAAATTGAGATTGTTAACTAACGGTAACTGCCGTTAACGAAACAAACGCTCCGTTCTTACCTTTAAAACTTATGGCTACCTGAATTTTTTTAAAGGTTGGAACTAACCGTTAACGTAACGGCTAGAAAAAGTTTGAAAATGCCCATGTTGATATTGCTCTTCCTGTATTTGATTTATTTTGAAAAAGAAAATGGTAGTTGTTACTGAAAATGACATGTATTGAGTCGTTGATATTGTATTTTAATCCTAGAATCCTCTGAATATGGTTTTACTTCCGAATATAGAGTGTAGACTGTTAGATATTCATTTTTTTATTTATTATTATCTATATTTATTACTATTATATTACAAATATATTTACAGATTTATAATAATATGTATTATTAATTAATAATAATTCCTCTTGCATAGTATAAGACAAGACTACAGTTACATATATAGACTGAGTTACCTGGACGTTAAAAATAAACTAAGTTAAATCAGGGGTTGGTAGTGGAACATTTGTGTTGTGTTGAGAATCGATAATCTTTAACGTTAATCACAATATCCAGAAAAATCGACTAAAACCTTGTTTAAAGACTAGGGTAATAATAATTTTGAAATCGTTTAATGAAAACTGAATGGAAAGGCTGTTGAAAAAAAATCCAAACAATTTACATTTTTTCTCTCACAGGCTTAATCATTATCCGATCATAATAAAATTTATATCAGTGTCTTTAGGACCTTAGGACTACATGGTTAAACTATTGAATTTGGTCAACCCTGCTCTAAATAAATGCTCTTTATTTCTTGGGAAAGGATTTGATCAGCCTACCTGGCTGGGATTTCCTATTCTCGCCACACTGCTTCAGATGATAGAAGTTTTCACATTTCTTTCTTGCAACCTTCTTTTTTGCAATAACCGGACATTATAAAACTTGGTGGTTATTGTCAGTTGTAAACCAAATTTAGATTTGAACTATATCTGATAGCATATGAGGCTGGCTACAGAGTGGCTGTTTACAGGTTAGTCCTGCTGCAGCTTTGGTTTTTTTTCTACACCCTTTAGGATGATGTCTGAAGCTTTCTTTCTGTTTTTGTTTTAAATGAAATAAATAAGTAAAATAAGACGGTAAAATAGCAAAAGACGAAATGAAATACGATCAAAAAGTATCACCCCACCCCCCTCTTCCCTAATAATATTAAAAAAAGGATTTTATTCCAGCATTATGGGGAGAATATTTCACGCTAAAATCAAAACTTTCAAAAATATTTTTAATATCACATTTTAAAACCAATTTTGAATTTTTGAACATGTAATTTTCCTAAAAATTTGTAGTTAATATTGAAAGTAATGAATCGCTAACAGTTCTTAAATTAAAATAAACGATTTGTGGCCCCAAGATGTCCGTATCTGGATAATTTGTCAAAGAGTTTAAAATCAGCAGAAGAATTTACAAAATTTTATTTTGATACATTGACTGTCCGTACGTACAGGGTCACTCACAAAAAATTAAACTTTAGAGACAACCTTACAACTTCTGTTTAGTAGTTTATCCTGCAGCTTTAGTCATTTTTAGTCATATCTAGTAGAATCTTCAAACAAATGTTGAAATAGATGTTTTTGTTTAATTTATAGTTGCACTTCTTAAAATTAAATTTTCGTTGTAACTTGTTCATATGCCTGAAGTTTGAATTCTGTATGAATAAAAAATGAAGATGATATTATGTATATGTAAATAGATCTACAGATGAAATAGAATTTATAATACTAGCCATTGTGGACATGTTCTCTTTGTGTACATCGTAAAACAAAACAAAAATAATTCGCGGATTTTCACAAAAAAATTCGTAGATTTTCAAAATTTTCAAAAATTTAATGAAGATCGAATTTTGATGGAGACAAATATTTGAAATTTTGATCATTCATAAACCTTCCCTGTGGTCACGTGATGTCCCACAAAAAATTTGGGCCGATCGGTTCAGCCGTTTTGACGTTTATTGGATACAAACAAACAGACACCCAGACAAGCCAAATTTATATATAGATTTGCAGGTTATTATAAAAGTACACCAAGACAAGCGAATAAAATAATGCTTTTTAGAGCTGGTTAAAACGCTTCATACTTTACAATCAAAATTTAAAATTTAAAATGATTGAGAGAGGCAAAAAATACAAATTTAAAAACTATTTACATATACCTTGCAAAATGGTATCCAATAATTATTGCTTAATGCTTGAAGAACAAATTCAAGAATAAAATGATATTTCCATTTTCTGAAAAATGAAAATCAGAATTTTAAGAATTCCAAATTCGTTCAAACTTTTTCTCACATTTCATCTGAAGAGAAAATCTGTCTGAATACATTCTGATTGGATTTAACTTTATATAAGGAGAAAAGGTAATTATCCATTATATTGAGAGAAAATTAAAATTATAATGATAAATTAAATATATAAAAATATGCAAAGAAAAGTTTGATCAAAACTACAGATTGAAGAGACTATCACGGGCAGTCGAAGTACATTTACATTTCCGAGCCGGGTCAACCTTTCCGGTCCCAGTTTGTACTGTATCGCCCGATTCGGTAAAAAAGCAGACACTCAACAGGACTAGCCGGTGCAACAAGGTTGACGCGGTCAGATGTTAGGTTGAATTTACTTTTACTGAAAGGTCAGGGGTGCGTGATAGGTTTAATTTCAAGTAACCATCCAAGCAATGGTAATGCACGATTCAAAACTGTACACTGAAAAGTTTGTCTGATTAAATAAAAATTGGATAAGACTGTTTATTATCTTGAAAACTGATTATTTTCAATTATGGTTTGTCTGCAAAATCGTATACCGTTGAGAATCAGGCCATGCCATCTTTGCAGAGAGGGCGCCGAGCATCTCTAATCTCTCTAGGTATTAAAATTTTTCCAGTATATTGGGAGTCCGCGGCTTAGTTCTAGGCTGACCGGGGTGTTTGATACAGGCTGACCCAAATCTTCTCATAATAGTAAAGATTCGGCATCAGAAGAAAAATAATTAAACAATCGTCACTCTAATTTTCCAATCTTTACAATATGCTATTGTAAACTTTAGATATTTCAAAACAAGACTTTAGCTAATCATATAGTTATCAAAGTTCTACTACGTCAGGTTGCAAAGATAAATCCATTAGATAATCACCATTACAAATGCATAATATAATTGATGTGCTAAAAGTGATATAGTTTTAAAATGCTAGAATAAGTTCTCAGAGTTTGTGCGGCGCCTTTGAAAATAAAAAAAAAACTTTAAAGCTCTTGAAAACCGAACCAACTTAGAATTGTCCATCAATAAGGAGAACATATCTTTATAAAAATTGAAGGCCAATAAAATTTTTTTTTACGTACAATAACTCATGTCGTATCTATCATGTGAGAATCTCCGATCTGGCCCCGAAGTAAGGTTTTGATTCAGGGCACTATGGAAGGTAAAACAAATTCAGTTTAAAGAGATTGTTCAGATAATAAGGTAATGGGTGGGAGTCACCAATTATTACATTAGGTTCCCCTACACCTTTATCAGGGTTGAAAGTGAAAATAGAAGAATTAGTTATTTTATTCGCAAACATTGAGAAATTTTAAAATTGAATTCTTATTTATCTTATCTGCAACTCGCAAGTGCTCTTAACTTTTTAGTTTTTAATGCAACCTGCTTCTAATATTCGAGTTTCCTGACACTAAATTTTCAGCTAGAAAAATAAAGATATCTACGTCATCGTGATTATTTGCGGGTTCAAAGGGTACAGTTGTGATTCGTATAAGTTATTATTTAGGTGGTGGTTTACTTAAAATTACGTTTACAGTGTACACTCTGCATTCCCTTTGATATAGAATATCGACCTAGCAGTAATTAAGCAGACTAATTTCTTCCATTGGGAATATTACAAATATTGTCACCAGACGCAAACCAAATAATAAAAATAAATTATCCTCCTTCCCCTCTTTTTTCATTTTGAATGTACTTACACCCTACAATATACAATAATACAAGGAAAACATGGTTATAAAGAATTATTTATAAACAGAAACAAACATCTGAAATATTAAAATGCCAATTAGAATGCAAAATAAAATTCTGCAGGAGTTAGCAAGGAATTAAAAAAATTGAGTGAAAAATGAAAAAAGGGACTGTAAAGGAAAAATGAAAGGGGGTATAGGTTGAAACCTAAGAACTTCAGGAGTTCTAAGAGTTCTATCTGATGTTCCTGTCTCAAGAATTTTATATAAAATCTGTGTCAAAATATTATACCAAAAATAAAATATGTAAAATTTCAAACAGATCATATTGGGATAAAGATATAGAATGAGTAATGAAAGGATGAATATAGAATGAATAATGAATGAATAAAGAATATGAAGATATAGGATGAGTATTAAAAGGATGAATATAGGATGGATAATGAATGAATAAAGAATATGAAGATATAGCATGAGCATTGAAAGGATGAATATAGAATGAATAATGAATGAATAAAGAATATGAAGATATAGGATGAGTATTAAAAGGATGAATATAGGATGAATAATGAATGAATAAAGTATATGAAGATATAGGATGAGCATTGAAAGGATGAATATAGAATGAATAATGAAAGGATGAATAATATAAAGATATAGGATGAGTATTGAAAGGATGAATATAGAATGATTAATGAATGAATGAAGAATATGAAGATATAGGATGAGTATTGAAAGGATGAATATAGGATGAATAATGAATGAATAAAGTATATGAAGAAATATGATGAGCATTGAAAGGATGAATATAGAATGAATAATGAAAGGATGAATAATATAAAGATATAGGATGAGTATTGAAAGGATGAATATAGAATGAATAATGGATGAATGAAGAATATGAAGATATAAGATGAGTATTGAAAGGATGAATATAGAATTAATAATGAATGAATGAAGAATATGAAGATATAGGATGAGTATTGAAAGGATGAATATAGGATGAATAATGAATGAATGAAGAATATGAAGATATAGGATGAGTATTGAAAGGATGAATATAGAATAAATAATGAATGAATGAAGAATATAAAGATATAGGATGAGTATTGAAAGGATGAATATAGAATAAATAATGAATGAATGAGGAATATAAAGATATAGGATGAGTATTGAAAGGATGAACATAGAATGAATAATGAATGAATGAAGAATATGAAGAAATAGGATGATTATTGAAAGGATGAATATATAATAAATAATAAATGAATGAAGAATATAAAGATATAGGATGAATATAGGATGAATAATGAATGAAGGTAGAATATGAAGGGATAGGATGAGTATTGAAAGGATGAATATAGGATGAATAATGAATGAATGAAGAATATGAAGATGGAATAATCCTGTTGTTTTTAGATATTTATCTGATAGAAGGGAACCAGACCAATTCCAGGTTTATCCAAAAACATATTGGAAAATAACAACCTTTCAGATAAATAATAATAATCATAAGAATTATAATAATAATAAATGATTTTTTATTTTTTTTTGGTATTGCACCTTGATACGTTGATAAAGTATATTATGAATTAATAAAATTGCGAGAAACAGCGGTGCAAATAGCCAAAAAAAATATTTGAGTACTCACTATACTCATCTTATGTTTGGATTAGAAGACTTAAGTAATATTAATATATGATATACGTCAATAAATATCTTATATAGGTATACATATATAAATATTCATGTGTGGGATCTCCAATATATAATATATATCCATATATAATATATACATGTTTAAATGCATAATACATAATACATATATGTACATATGTAATGTACATATATATACAGTATACATGCATACACACTAGAATATCCTTAGAAGGGAATGATTCATTAGGCGAACAGTTCCGTTTTGTTTCATTTCCATAATTAAAAAAAACCTCGTATCAAGTTAATACCATTTAAGTTTTGAAAATACTAAGTATTTGATTCGTATTTTGGACATAAAAATGATCTGCAAAAATTGTATGAACAAATAGTTTGTTATTATTAATTGTTTAATTCGAATAAAATAAAAAATTGTCCGGTCAAAACTTGAAATTTAAATATTTTACAACGATTTAATTTTCATCCTTCAATCGGTTAGGTTTACGACGACAAACGAAAATCGACTCAAAATTGAGACTTGAGAAGCCAAGGACGTATAGTCAAAAAATGGTGTGGGGGGGGTGGCTTTTTATCTTGATGAGGGGGAGGCCCAGTCCCAGTTGGGCCCAAAAGTCCCCCCCCTCTCCCTCATTGAATTTCCCTTTACTTGAGACAGCCTGTAGTATATATATATCTTTCATGTTCGACAAAAACATCACCAATTACTTTCCAGATCTCTCCTCCAAGTTTTTGTATTTATAACATCTGCTCTCTTCAAGATATATTAGTTTACTCACAAATTCAAGATAAATTAGATCTAAAAGTATAGAAGAGAAAAATTTTACTTCTGCATAATTTCTAATAGCTACTTTCTTTTAAGTGAAAATAAAAACAATGTAGAAAATATATCATCATCTTTTTATACAGATTACAGGGGTTGTCAATAATAGAGGAATAATCCTTCTTCCTTTCAATTTTCAATTGTATTTTTCGTTCAAGGTTTTGTATTTTAACTTTTTCATGATTTGTGTGAAATAAAGCTGATCATTATAAATATGTTCTCAATATCTTTGTCAAATCTTCTTATACCATTAAAAGATATGTTCTTAATATCTTTGTCACATTTTCTATACTATACCATTAAAAGACTGTAAGTAAGGTAGACACCATAAAATCAACACTAAAATCGCTGTATACCCAAAAGTTTTAGGTCGTCTTTAAAGCCTCATTCTTTTATGACTTTTTGTGACTTCAGAAAATATCAGCTTTTATTGAACGAACACAAAATATATCCAACACAATTTTAATGAGACTAGCCTTAGAGGGCGCTTCGCGCCCATCTTCTAAATTAATTGTGAACATGTTCTCTTTGTGTACATCGTAAAACAAAAAAAAATAATTCGCGGATTTTCACAAAAAATTTCGCGGATTTTCAAAATTTTTAAAAATTTAATGACGATTGAATTTTGATGGAGACAAATATTTGAAATTTTGATTTTTCATAAACCTTCCCTTGGGTCCCTAGATGTCCCACAAAAAATTTGGGCCCGATCGGTTCAGCCGTTTTGAAGTTTATTGGATACAAACAGACAGACAAACAGACGAACAAACAAACAGACAAGCCAAATTTATATATATAGATTACAACAATTACATCATTATAACTTTAATTATTGTACAGTGAAACCCTTAATAACGAATACAACGAAAGAATTTATCTAATGTCGTATTCTTCACTTTCTGATAATGGAATGTTGCAGATATTTATTTTTTAATTAAATGATTATATGGAACTCTTTAAAACTGTTCCCGCATATTCATGGCTATTAATTTATTTTCACAAATAATGAAATTTACGTAATAATGTACAACTCATTGAAAAATTGTCAAGACGACATTTGATAAATTCTTCCGATGTATTCGTTATTAAGGGTTTCACTGTACCCAAATAGATTATCAAGTACAACAGGTGGCAACAGAGAAATTGACCAATTATACATGACGTCGCGTGTGTCAAATATAACAAGGAAAACGAAATTTTCTCAAATTAGTTGACATATTTTCCAAGATTAAAAAAAGTGTAAAAACAGAAAATAAAGAACACATAAAATTGCAATTTTTTATTGTAACTGCACTTTATTAAAAAAATATCATTATTATTAAAAATTTTGTCGGACACAAAAACTAAGTTGACACTTGTGACGTAAGAATACAGCTGTACTGAGAGTGTACAAATTCTAAGTTGTATTTACTTGATAATCTATTTGATTGTGCCAAGTTCTTAAGCTTTATTAACAAAGGTGTTCTTGATTACGTTTTTTACTTAAATTAGTAAAACCTTTTAGAATATAGTTAATGACGGCTTAACTCTATATTTCATAATTTTAAAAAAGCATAAATTTTCTCTTTTCTTGTTTTAAAATTCTATAATTTATCATTCGAATCTATAAGACTAGATCAAATGTCGTCTTGTATTTTCTTATTTTTTTAGAGAATGTTGTTTTTATCTGCTTGTTGTGTGTTCATTAGTTTATATGAAACTCTATAAATTTAATTTGGCGAGTCTAGATGTCTGTCTGTCTGTTTTTTAGGACCCTTAAATAACCCCAATCTACCAATTTATAACCTGAAAGTCTACAAAAAATCACCACTTAAAACGAAACATTTAAACTCTAACATTGTTGATACAAAAGGGGCGCGATGCGCCCTAAGGCTAATATTAGTAAAAAATATGATATCTACAAAACAAGAAATGATACTTTTAACAAGTTGCAGAAAAGTTTTACAGAAGTTTACTTTGTAATATATTTTCATCAGTTTACAGGATTTAAAGGAAACAATATCTTTAATATAACTTTACTAACTGATATTATACATTGCAGGCAAGGTAATAAGGCAAGGAAAGTTAATTGAGGTTGCGTATTCTCTGCGTACATATTGAAACCGGTTCTCTTTGGGCGGAGTTTGTAAACTAGATATAGATCCATCAGTTTGCCTCTATAGTATCTGAGGAGGAGGATAAAAGCATTTAACTTTGATAATTTAAAAAAAAAAATGCGAAAATTTCGTGAAAAATAATGCGAAAATTTCGCGAAAATTGTAAAATACCAATTTTAAGAGTTTTCAGAGAAATTACCTGATTTTCGTCGGATTTCATAACTTCATCACTCAGAGACTTCTCACAAATAAAAATACTTAAGCGACCGAGCCTTATTTGACTCTAATGTGACTCGAATAAGAGGTTTATGGTGTAAACTCAATATTGCTGCCCCCCCTGATATTCCATTGTGGAGGGGGGGGCGATGTTTATAACTTTTCTAAATAACTAAATTTGATGAAAAGTTTTAAAAGGTACAATTAAGAGTATTGTAAAAGGACACGACATTTGGTTAACTGTGAAAAGGTGGATATAATTTTCATCTTAAATTATCTTAGCACTTAAAACTAAAAATATCTTCAGGAAAAAGAATAATTTTAAAATTAGAAATAAATCGATAAAACTTATATTGAATCATAATATAATATTTTATCCAATATTTGTTTGGATAGTTTAGAAGAAGTTCTGCTTATTGAGAATTCAACCTACTGCCTGCATATTCAGCTTAGGTAAATCAATTCGAATAATCAAAACATACTTAATAACATGAAATGTACAGGGCGCTTGGATATCATCTTTGATTTCGGATAGAAAATGCAAAGGGTGTATCAAGAAAAGGTTGAGTCTTTAAAGCTTTCAGAAATATTTTCTACCCTGCAGATTTAATTTTATTTATAAAATTAAACTCTGCAATTGATTGTAAATTTTTACGAAAAGTTTGAAGATAAAACCTTAATTTTGAAAATCCTCATAGGAATATCTTTGTGTTAATTGTTAGATTTGTTCACAAAACAAAAGATGTAACGATCAAAAACAATTTGAAAATTGTCGCTAAAGTTCTTTGTTTATTGCAGGACAACATATGAAGCATGTTCTTTGTATTTTGGGACACGCTGTTAAGCACGTTCTATATTTATATTGGAACACGCTGTTAAGCATGGTCCATGTATATTCGGACACCCTGTAAAATATGCTCCATGTATTTTGGGACATCCTGTAAAATATGTTCCATGTATATTGGGACACCCTGTAAAATATGTTCCATGTATTAAGGAACACCCTTTGAAGCATGTTCCATGTATATTGGTAAACCCTTTGAAGCATGTTCTTTGTATATTTGGGGACACGCTGTTAAGCATGTTCTATATTTATATTGGAACACGCTGTTAAGCATAGTCCATGTATATTCGGACACCCTGTAAAATATGTTCCATGTATTTTGGGACACCCTTTGAAGCATGTTCCATGTATATTGGGACACCCTGTGAAGCATGTCCTATATATATTGGAACACGCTGTTAAGCATGTTTAAGCATGTTCCATGTATAATGGGACACCCTATTAAGAATGTTCTATGTATATTGGGCCACTCTGTGTAGTACATCTATCTTTTTAGTGCGTATATAAGATGTTATGGATTGGATGAGAAGGATTATCTAAAGATCAGGTGCAGAACTCTTCTCCTTGCTTTAATCAATTTTAAAATAGGGGATTTTTTCTTCACACCAGGTGGGGAGGAGGGGGGGTTGTTGGGGTGAATAGGCAGCCCTTTTTTTAGTTAGCACTAGGATTTTAGCATTGAAGGTAGGACTCAATTTAATTAGTTTCAATGTAAGTCATTTTTTTGTCGTAAAGTTCATGGAGTTCATGCTTTGTTTAAATAAGAAAATATATTGGATGAATCCATATAACTGATTTTTTATCTGATGCTTTTTTCTAATACAGTGGATGACAAATCGGACCGAAATCCAATGAATTGACTTTCAGAAGCAATGAATACAAAAATGAAATAAACTCCGATTGATTTTTATGTACTGGGTGTTCCACGCAACATGACAGTTGGTAAATAGTTTTGAATGTCGTCTTCCGTTAGATGTATTAGATAGTAAAGGCTTCATGCAGTTAATTTCGTTTAAACAATCTTTTACTCAAATATATTTTACTTTTAAATTAATTTTACGATAACATGAATCCTGCATAAAATTTGTGTTATTGTCTTTGGTATTAAACAACTTAAAAATGATGGAAGAAGACATTCTAAACTATTTAAAAACTGTCATGTTTCGTGGGACACCCTGTAGTAGAAAATGTATTCTTTTTGCATCACTTAACAATAAACATGTTCTTAATTTCTTAATAATATTTATTTAGTAATTTAATTGATGACTATTGCTGGCATGAAGAAAGAAATATGTTTATTATCTGTAATCCTACTCTACCCTTATATCAGGTATCCATCAATAAAGATTTTTTACTTTATTTCAATTGCAATGTCATTTTCATAAACTTGTTCGATTTACTTTTCCCCTGGATGTGCTGCCAACCTGAAAGACCCGGAATTATTTTTTGTCTTCGTTGAAATGCCGCTTCACATTCTATAATTTGAACTACGTTAAAAGTGCAGGACATACACAAGCTGTCGGTGTTATCCTACTGTAGTGTATCCCTGATTTTCATGGAAATAGAGAAGGGGTATAGGGGGCGGAGGCAGAAAATGACTAGACTTTATTATCAAAAGCTATGTACTGAAAGTAAGACATTTTTACAATTTTTTCTTTTTTTTTATCGTATAAAAGAATTGTTACATTTAAGGTGCTCGCCTTTGGATGCACATAGAAATAAACGTTAATCAATCAATCAATTCACCAATAATAAAGAAATGTCAACCAAAACCAGCTCCTTTCAGGGCCCTACAACTTGACAAGTTTACAATAAAGAGATGAAACATCAAACCATTTTTTTTATTTTGAGCAATTTTTTATTTATTTGATTTCTAGACAGCTGTACAGCTATGCTGTTAGCAGCATATCTGATAAGAAAAGGGTAGTCATAGATCCCAATTTTAAATTAATGTCTTTGATGGTGAATTAAGTATTGTTAACATGAACTAAACTTTATTAAGAAAAAGTATTACTCCAATTTGTAAAAAGTATTATATAAAGCTCCCTGAACATTTGCAGCATAAATCTTCTAATAAGGAAAAAAGTTGGAGCTTAAACTACAAGAAAACTCAAAGAAGACCTTTGTTTATTCTGGGTCATTCTGGTATTGACTGTATAGATAAAGATTGTTCACAAAATAATGTCATTGAGGCCCAGAATGAATTTTAAAAAAACTGATGAACAAAAGAGATACAGAAAATTGTTTTAATTTTGATTTGCATCTGCTTTCCAATATTGCTGCTTATCCCAAATACGGTTTCTCTGCTTTGAATAAGAAACATATCTTAGCCTGAGGCCAAATTTAAAGCTATTGAGCGGCGGCTTAAATTTAAACCGCGGCTCAAATATGGTTGGTTCCACTTGAAATTGTATAAAGTTTTTAAAGATTTAAGCCGACGCTCAGTTAAAACCGGTTTTTGGGTGATTTGAGACGCGGCTTAAATTCATTAAATTCGGACACTGGCCGTCTTAAGGACTAGATGGGCGCATATTTATACTGTTTCATTGATGTACATTGTACAATAAGTTTTTTGAGCTAAACGGGTGCACGATTTAGAGTTCAATGAATCATATTCAGTTTCAGAAAATAAACTTTTAGATTCCTGAGTTAATGGTTCTTGTACTGTGTGTACTGTATGGTTGTGTAGCTGTTTGTGCATGCGTGGGAAATCTTCTGGTTGTGTACATTATTATGGCCTCTAGGAGAATGCAGGTTTGTACAATTCTGCAAATATTTGTTTCTTTGTAAAATTTTGCAATAATTAATGCAGTTTTTCATAATTCTAGTTTGGAATTTAAACGGAAAACGAAATACATTTTCTTTCCCTTATTAATTTGAGTTGTTTTTAAAACTGTAAAATCTATTAGAAAAACTAGTAATGATTATTTAACATCTACCTTTGTAGACCGTGACAAACCTCTACATTGGAAATCTAGCAATGGCTGACATTATTCTTGCAATTTTTTGTATTCCTTTCCAGGTAAAAGAAATAGTATTTTTTTTTAAATCTTTGAACTTTTAAAAATAAAATAAAACATTATTTTAACCTGCACTTTGTTATAAATTGATAGCTAGATGTTTATCCTCGCAAAAAATTGGCCTTTCACAGCGACCTGAAACTGAACAAATCAGTATAAAACGGAGTGAAAATGCTTATGTTTGATCATGCACCAACACGTAGAGATTTTGTTATATCTGATATATCTCTGATAATGTAAGGAGTACATTTTAATTAGTTTTAACATTTAAAAATAACAAGATCCTTACTAAAGTTCCTTGAAGGATGACATTTATTTCGCTTTTTACAATTGTTATGTCTGAAATCAGAACTTAATTTTGTAGATATCGTTACTCTTGCATGCTTGATCTCGATAGCCAATTATGGCAATTTTAAATCTGAAGATTAAAGTTTGATCGTCAATTATAGTTATAACGCTGTTGAAAACTGAAATACAACTGAAGTAAGAGTAACCCTGTGGTTAAATGTCGACTTCACAAGCCTCGGTTCAGCCTCTTAAATGTATATACTATGGAGCATGGGTAAAAATTGAACGAAATTAAGTATGAACAAACTACAATGTGCGTATATGTTCGTAATGAATTTCATCATTATCAAGAATTTTTCCATAAGTACGTAGTAAATTTATTTTAGAAAACTTTGAAATACTAAGACGACATTTAAATTTTAGTTTCAGGCTGCGTTGTTACAAAGATGGAATCTACCGGCAGTACTCTGTAAACTCTGTCCTTTTATTCAGATTTTATCGGTAATTTTTAAAATACATTTTCCGTTTTTTGAGTAAGAAAGAAAAGTTTTCGTTTGCAGGGAACCATGAATTTAAGGAAACAGATCTCAACCTTTGTGGGTATCACTGTATCAAGTAATATAATGTACTTGTAGGTAAATGTATCTGTTTGGACCCTGCTTGGAATATGCTTGGATAGATTTAAAGCAATCATTTATCCACTCAGACTCAGACAAACTAAAACTAAAGCTTGGTAATTTTTTGTTTAACAGTGATACTTGTAGAACTTTGCATGATAAAGAAAGACATCATGTTTATAAACAGTATCATGTGTATTTCATGTTGCTATAAAGCAAATAGTTCAACCGTGCGGGTAGCTGTCGTACTTATTCATGGGTATCGCTGAATATTAACAAAATTATATCATTATATATACACTTTATTTTATTACCTTTCCCCATTTTTAAAGAAGTGTTTCGGAAAAGAAAACTAAATGCCGTCAAGAATAAATCCCAATATTAATATGGAAGAAGACTAAATAAAGATTCACACAAGGTTTCTTGTTGTTGCAAATAAGTAAATTTTGCCTATTTCTGCACTTTACAGTTAATTGCTTTATGATTTTTTGACACGTTGGGAGTTTTAACTTTTTTTTCAATTTTTTTTTCAATTTATTTATCTTTTTTTGTTTATTTTAGAGTGGTATTATTCCACGCAATTTTTTTATAAATATTACATTGAAGATTTAATAATTAATAATTTTATAATTTTAGGATAATAATCATAAGTATCTGGGCACTAGGATGCATTTTAGCCGTTCCCTGGGGTATTGTACATAAATATCAACAGGTATATGTACAATAAAATGTAGGCTTATGTACTTCGTTGTACATACACATTTCTGATTCTGATGTGAAACAATAATGGCTAAGATCTTGAGATTTTGAGAAAACACTAAAAAGGTACTGCTGGAGGTGCATCTCAGTCTTACTGATGACATCTTTGTATTAATCTATAAACATGTTTTGTAAACATTTCTCTTGTTTGGGTGTCTGATTGTTTGTTACGTATCTCCCTTGCCTGTACTAAACTGTCTTATTGTGTGCAAGAAACCCTGAATAAATAATTTTTTCATTTCTTGAAATTTTTTTCTAGAAATAACGAATTAGGTCGAAATAACAAAAGAGCAGGAAGCGACGAAATACGCAAAAACCAAGAATTTCTTCAGTATTTGCGCGAAATAACTTTTGCGCATCAATGCGAAGTGATATCAAAATTTCGTGAAATTTTTACTCGAAACGTAAGAAATTCTTTGCGCAAAAAATATTGATTGGAAACCCAACACCAAAAGCAGTAAAGTACATATAAATATAAATAAGATTTTATTCTATGGAATATTTGTCTTTATCTATATATACTATATAGGTAATGGATGAAGTGAATGGTGGATTAAAACCATTCTGTGCTGTTGAATGGACAGTGGATCAAGATGAAATTCATTCATGGCAATCAGATGTTTTTCAGGTTCTTTAAAGGGACTGTAAGCGTAATTATAAATAACCCTCCTATTCCCGATGCATAACGATACCATTGAAACATTAATATGATCAAAAAAGTATTTATTTTTGTGAATTACCCCATTGATTCTTATAAGCAAGAAATGGGCAAGTCTCTTTTTCAGAGAAACCACAGATGAAAAAACAGAGCTGAAAACTTTAGAATGGTGGACATCAAGATTAATGCTTAACTCCTGATTTTATTAAACCCAAGATTATTATAAAACTCATTCGATATCCAAGAAAGAAGTTGAATATTTAACCAATCAGCGTGTCATGTTAAGATGTACTCTTTTGATTTCTGGTGTTGATGGTGCCATATCAATTGAACTAAACATGGATTGAACGAACGTAAGTTTTGGATTAATGTTTATTTAAATAACGTTCAAAATGACAATAGTTTTAAACTTTGTATTTTAATAATGTCATATTAATATGATTTAATTTATATTTGTTTAAATGCTCTAAAAGCCGGCTTGTGAACAGCTGACTATAATTCAATCGGATATTAGTCCAATCGATATAGCATTGTATCTGTAATTGTTATCAAAAGTAACTTTTATACAGTGGAATTATCCAAAAAGAGGATTAAGATGAAAATCAAAAGTGTGTACATTGGATAATCAGATTAAGTGATCGGAATTAAGGATATCTCATTCTAAAGTTTTCAGCTCAGTTAAAATAAACAAAACTTTGCATTTGTAATTCATACTTGATCAGACAAAACTTAAAAGTGTACAATTGTAAATCGGGCATTGTCATCTTGGCATAAAGGGTACTTGAAATTACACTCACAGTCCCTTTAATATACAGGGTGTCCCAATAAACATAGGAATTTAGAGACGACTTAAAAGTCGTCTTTTATTTCTGATATTTAAGGCACGGCAAAGAAAGTATAAAAACGAGACTGTACGTCTTTCGAGCTTTTCTTAAAATGGTCTTGACCTTTTTTAATCTTGTGTCTTAAAAATTGACAAAGATATTAGATATCTAGACAATTTTCATTTATTAAATAAATGCAACTTTATAATATCTCCGTCAGTTTTGAAGATACAAAATGGTAGACCACATTTTTTAAATCTCAAGATCAGGCGTTTTCTATATTCTGTAATGCTGCATTAATTGTGTTCATGAAAAAATGCCGCATGGGTCGAAGACGATATAAAAATCGTCACTTAATTCCCATGTTTATTGGGACATTCTGTATGTGCAATTTGCATGTGTACACCTATAAGTTCAGGCTGAGCACTACTTTAATCCGTTCGTTAACGATATCCCCTTCAAAATTCGTTCGTTCAAATTTGAATAAAAAAACTTCATTTACAAGAACTTTTATACTTCTATCAAAAAAAATATTTTTGTTCTTAAATTCTTACAAATACAAAATCTAGTATAAAGCATAAAGTGATAGAAATTATAATTTTTAAAATAAAACTTCTGTAAAGGAATTGAGTTTTTGCAACAAACTTACATTTTCTAACCCCTATATCTTTGCAACCTGATGGTGTAAACCTTTGATATTTCAAACTTAGACTATTTGATCTAACAGAATTCATAGTTTGAAATATCAAAGGTCTAGGAAAACGGGTTGCTAAATTATAGGAATTAGAAAATCAGAGTTTGTGGCAAAAACTCAATTCCTTTGTAAACAGAATTTACAATTAACAAAAATTTGCTCTATTTGATAACCAGAAATACAGGAAGAAGACATTTAAGCAATACTTAAGTACATGTGATGTTGTTACAAACTAAATTGCTTTACTTAAAGTTATTAAATTACTTATCAAGTGAAATGGATCTGTTTAAACTGCACAATAGCTCTGCTTCTAGTCCTTAAACTATTTAAAGTCATTACTTAAGTTTAAAAGTCGACGTCCTATTCCAATCCAGAGTTTTCTGGTTATTACTGTACCATATTAATAAAAACGTTTTAGATTTTAAATGCCAACAACAGAATTCAGTTAAAAAAATAACAACGAAAATACAAAATCAAATACAGTCATTTACAATAACAAATGAAAGATAGAAATAAAACAATCTTTAAATATGGACATTTTAATTCACATTTTTTAGTCTAACATTATGTGAGTTTCTGATCTAAACATGTCACTGAAATATGAAATATGAAATGTAAGGGATAAAAATGTCTGCGCGAAGGGACTATATCTCAGGAAAAGAATTGTGGATAAAAGGATGAAAAGAATGAAAATATTAAATATAAAGAACATGGTGGATTTGAAGAGGTGTATTGAACCTATCAAAAGCCTATTGGAGAGGAAATATGTTCAATATAAAATAGTTCTTTTCTTCTTCTTCTTCATGTCCAACCAAAACCAGAATTTTATCCTTTTTTTGAAATCGATCAATAGAAATTTTCAGTCTCGTGCTACAATTTTGAGATATTTACCTCACGCACAACCGGTGTACATTTGAATACCAAGCCGGGCCAACCTTTGCGGTTTGGATTGTTCCGCCAATTTACATTTTTAAAAGCGGCAGGCCTGTGTGACCTTGAAGAGACTTTGAATATAATTATTTTTACGTTCCGAGTCGAAAGTTGAAATTTTCTGAATTTGTATGGACGCTACGTTCCTAGGTATGAGTCTTTTTTAACAATTTTCTCCTTAGAGATTAGTAGCAATCACCATTGATAATTTTTCGCCGTAATCTTGTACCCCCTTTCATTTTTGGCGAAAAACAAGGATAATCATCAATGACTCAAAGGGTTCCCTTTGAATCCGTCATGCACTCTGTAAATGGAGGGTCACTTGAAAATACGTTTACAGTCCCTTTAATACCCTGATTTTCTTAGTTTGAATGCACGGCATCAAGAAGGTGCTAAAAAAATGGCTTTAATCAGATCAGTGTCATGTCTTTTAAAAGAATAAAGACTTTTTCATTTAACTTTCAAGAAAATGGTCAGGAGAGGAAAAGAAAAGAAAATACTAAATACTATTACATTACCAACTTTGAACTTAAATCAAATTTAGAGAATGTAATCTCATTGCAGTTTAGAGAATGTAATCTCATTGCAGTTTAGAGAATGTAATCTCATTGCTTTTTTTGCTTTTTGTATTTTAAGGAACTTTTTTGGTATAGACCTGTCACTTAGTGAGCTTATGAAGGCACAGAGAAATTCAGTTATTGCTAAAAACTAAAATTTTCGAATCCCTTTATCTTTGCAACCTAATGTGGCAAAGACTCAATTTTTTTATGATTTTTTTAACTTCAACGTTTAAAAAGCTTTTTTCTGTGTCAAGGGCAAAGAAATCTACTTTTTGACATTACTTTTGTAAAATTATATTTTATATACATAAACCATAATAACAGGCGTGCAATATTTGTCATGGGCGACGGTTTTGAGACAAATAATGGTTTTGAACTTACATCCTCTGTATTTATTTGATAAAATATCCTTCTTGCCAAATGCTTCAGGGTTATTATTATTAGGAACAAAGCTTTGGTTTCTTTCTGTCAAGGAATTAAACCATGATGTATTTATATCTGTAGAGCTGGGTAAAGTTTCCTTAATGAACAGCAGTTGGTAAATATTACTTTTAATAAATGGGAAACCCCAATAAAACGAGTTCACAAACAACATTTTAATGGAAGAACAGACTGATAAATTTTGTATGTTCTTACTGTTAAATGCATGAAATGGAAAAAGACTATTTTTCTCTTGTATAAATTTATTTTTATGTCGTCTTATGTATTCTAGCAAAACTCTTGCATGACCTCACAAATTGACCAGTCGTTAACGGTCAAGGCCGTTATAAATTTATTGGAATAGGATTAGTCATATCTAATGTTAGCGCTGTTAAAAATCTAAATAGTAACACAAACGATAACTTTATTTGACGAACGGAAAAAAATGGGAACTAAGCTGAAAGTTGAGCAAACGGCTGCTTAATGAGTCTGTACTTGATATTTTACCAGCTGTTAGCGAACAAAATGTTCCCAGCTCTATATCAGGGCGATTATTCTTTTGAAGTGTAATGTATTAATTGCTGATATATGAAATTTATATGTACTGATTTTGATTCTTAGGTGTACTGCATTGTACTATCTGTACTTGAGTACTATGCCCCAATACTTGTAAGCTCTATTTGCTATTCCAAGATGGCGCATAAACTATGGATTCATAAAACACCAGGACAGGTCAGTACTTCGTGTAAAAGCTTTCGATATCGACTAAGAACAACGAGCCGTATCAATCCTGATCTGACATAGGAATGATGTGGCTAGGATTCCAATTACTATCACTAAAGCAAGAGGGTAGCAAGGCGAGCCACACCAATCCAACCTGGACTAAGGATTGATGCGGCTCGGACTCATAATCTTACTAAACTACTGAAGGTGCATAAACACATGCTTACACTTGTACTTTTAATTGCACATGTAACGTACCTGCTTAGACTCCTGATTGTTGCGGCTCTAACTCAGGGGGCGGAAACGTCAGGGGGGTGTGTCTGTAGCAAAGAGTGTGTGTAAAGAATACCGAACCGAAGATGTGTGCTGTAGTTATATACAGTGCATAAGAATCTCGGTATTTGTACAGTCTAGGAGAGTACATTTGTTCATTAAGTTTAATATACGTGTAATATATTATTTATACATTTAAGTCAACACTATATGCCAAATTGTCATGCAAAGAATATAATTTGATTAAAGTTTACAATAAACTACTCGTTATTCAAGCTTAATTATAATTGACGACATTGTTCTACAATTTCCTTGACTATAGTCATGTAGTGTGTCTATACCAAAAGGGTGTGTGTAAGGAATACCGAACTCGTCTGCAAAGCAGTGCGACTGGCTTTCTCATGCCAGACCAGCGCTATTTCCTTTCCCCTTATTCCTATTCCCTGCTCTAACTCTTACCTCAACTAAAGTAGATTCTAATGCTGCTTGAAATGCTGCGGCTTGGAATTTTACCCTTACAACCAAAACAACTATCTGTAAGCAACAGAAAGCCGTAAACAGAAAATATTAGGAATAACATATAAAAGAAACTTAATTTTTTTTTAAATTTTAGGCTGATATAAGAAGAGATGACAGAATAAATAAGAACAAGAAAAAGGTAACATTTCTACACATTAGTGTGATCTGAAGGTTTCGTCATAAATTAGTTTATGCAGTGTCTAATTTTTAACCTCTTTTATATATTTTAATTGAGTAATCATATACCTAATTATTATTATTCATTTTTTAATTTCCATTTTTGTATTTGGGTTTTTGTTATGTTGTTGATTGTTGTTGTTTATGTGTTTGTTATGTGTTGTTATTTAGGTTGTCGTTTTGTTTACTATCTTTTGGTGATTTAGTTATCAAGATGTTGGGTGTTGTTGTGTGTAGGTTAATAATGTGTTGGTTGTTGTAGTTGCTGAGTTTGCTATCTGCAGTTGGTATTTAGGTTATCAAGATTTTGGTTGTTTTTGTGTTAAGGTTTTCAATATTTGGTTGTTGTCTTGTTTGGCGTCTTTTCGTGTTTTAGTTATCAAGTTGTTGGTTGATGTTGTGTTTAGGTTAATAAGATGTTGGTTTTTGTAGTTCTTATGTTTGCTATCTTTTGGTGTTTTAGTTATCACGATTTAGGTTGTTGTTGTGTTTAGGTTAATACGATGTTGGTTGTTGTAGTTGTTGTGTTTTCTATCTGTTGGTTTTTAGGTTTTCAATGTGTTGGTTGTTGTTGTTGTTGTTTTGTTTGCTATCTTTTGGTGTTTAGGTTATTAAGATGCTGGTTGTTGTTGTGTTTAGGTTATCAAGATGTTAGTTGTTGTTATTGTTATGTTTCCTATCTGTTTGTGTCTAGGTTACCAAGATGTTGATTGTTGTTGTTGTTGTGTTTCCTTACTGTTTGTATTATGGTTATGAAGATGTTGGTTGTTGTTACTGTTGTGTTTACCATCTGTTGATGTTTAGGTTATCAAAATGTTGGTTGTTGTTGTTGTTGTGTTTCCTTTCTGTTTGTGTTAAGGTTATGAAGATACTGGTTGTTGTTATTGTTGTGTTTGCTATCTGTTGGTGTTTAGGTTATCAAGATGTTGGTTGTTGTTGTTGTTGTGTTTGCTATCTGTTGGTTACCCTGGCAGCTGTATCATGTTGTTGGTATTCTCTACCCAGCTATAAATAGGTTGGACATTTTTTATCTTTGATAAAACCATTTTTCTATTGATTTAGGCCACAATAAAGTTTTTTTTAAACAAATAAACCTTTAGAAATATAAAAATATGAATGAGGAATTTGTGTAAATAAAAATATTTGGAATTTGATTGAAGGTAAAATTGACTTTTATTAAAATTTTAAAATTTTCTCAGACCTCAATTTTTATAGAGATAACTGCAGCTAGACGTGAAATGATTGTCGTCTTCTTTGAGTCTTTTAATTAGAAATATCTCCAAGCATTTTGGGATTTGGTATTTTTCTGAAAATGTGCCCTGAGCTGAAAACTTTAGAATGGGATATCCTTAATCCCGATCTGTTGACTTATATGGAGATTAAATTCATGAGGAAAACAAGCAATATTTAATCTGGAGATTAAGAAAAAGAGTGGATTAAGCATTAATCCTAATATCCACCATTCTAAAGTTTTCAGCTCAGAACATTTAAATTTTTCTTAAAAACTTGTTACTTTGCTACGTTTTGTCTTTTATATTCCAGCAGAAACATTCAAACGAAAGCTTGTGGAAAGAAATGTCTAATCTGTAGTCTTCAAAGCTCTTTGGGAAGCCGCTCAAAATAAAAAATCTAATTAAAGGAAACTTAATGAAGATTACAATCATTTCTCTTAATATTGGTTAACACAGTATTAAATTTCTTTTTGTATTTTCCAGGTATAAATATATAAATGTTGTTTACATCATCTCTCACTGGTTGGCCATGAGTAACTCCTGTTATAATCCGTTCATTTACGCAATTCTCAGTGTAAGTTATTATCATTTAATTGATTTTTAAGTAAACTCTTATTTTTCTTCATACAACTAACTTCACTGTGGTGTTTTAGGAAAAGTTTCAGCGCGAATTCCGCGTCCGACTCTCAAGAATATTTTGTCGAAGTAACGAAGACGACTCAACTGTTCCGCGCACAGACTCAGATCTGGAGCAAACTGACAACTCTGCCAGAACATCACGAGTTTCAAGACATTTTAGTCGTATATTCAGACAACAAACTTAATCAAATTAATAATTATTTATTTTCATGGAAAAAGGAAGATGAGTTGGCATTTTAAATTTTATCAAATAAACAAAATTAAGCACTTAAATATCACTTCTAAAAGTATAAATGGTTAGTTAAAATTACTCTAAAATCTTTTTTAATGAGACAATATTTTTACATTTTTAAATCCTTTTTAGTTCCGCCAGTTTTCTTTCTTTTTATATTTTCATTCTGGGAGCAAACATTGTAATGAAGTTAAAATCCTCGGCTTTCCTCGCTTCCTCGGTAACTGCAATCAGGATTGAGGAGTACTGCAGCGGATTCAATCAGAAACCACGTGGAACATTTCAAATCAAAATGGCTGTTTGTCATAACTCCAATAAAGTAAATTTAATGAAAAACAAAAAGTAGTTGAATATTGGTATACTATATAAGTTGAACCGGTTTCACATCATCCAGACAGAACAAACACTAAGCCGAGAGAATATCAGAAATATATGACGACGACATTTAAACATTTATTTTCTTTATTATTCCTGCGAGGTGGGGTAAGCATTACAGTTAAACTATGCGAGGTGGGGAAACTTTTTTTATTAAGAGCCACTTTTAAGAAAATAAAAATAATTGATTCAGAGAATATAAATAAATAACAAATATTTTAGAACAAAATTTAGTTATAGTTTATAAATTATAACAATTTAAATGCTTAACTCCCTTAGATTTTTGAACTGAAGAATTCTTATATTTTATATATTATATAATATGAAAACAAAAAATGCCAAATATACACATTAAGTAGTTTTTATTGTACTGAAATTTTTTAATATCACAATTTCCTTACCAATCATCATGGAAACATTACATAAATTTTAGATTTTATTGATTCTAATAAATAAAAAATAATAATTTTATCTTACTCTTTGTATCCAATACTGTCAATACGGTTGAACCGATTGGACCCAAATTTTGTGAGACCGCACATGGCCCTAGGGAAGGTTTATGAATGAACAAAATTAAAAAAATTTGCCTCCATTAAAATTTGTTTTCATCAAATTTTTAAAAATTTTGAAAATCCACGAAAATTTTTGTCTAAATCCGCGAACTTTTTTTGTTTTGTTTTACAATGTACACAAAGAGAACATGTTCACAATTAAAATAGAAGATGGGCGCGAAGAATAACACGAAGAATAACAAGAAACTAATTGCATGTTAAATGTATTATAGTACAACTATAATGATGGTAAAAGTAAACAAAACAGAATTTTGTAAACATTTACGTTGTAAAAGGGGTACTGATGTATCTTAATTTACAAATATGTATCCTCTTGGCTTCACTGGACTTATAGAATGTCGTCTTCTAAATATATTCGAGCCTGGTGTTTGTCCAGTCTGGATTATGTGGTTTTTAAAAAAATGAATGAGATATTCATGACTTCTCTTTTAAATATTGTATATTTTTAATTTTTGTAATTCTACAAAAGTCCCTCTTTAAATGGAGGTTCTCTTCAAATTAAAATGTTCACATTGTTCACAATATTCTAAGGCAAAAGCCCAGAGGAGTTTCGCGCAGTCGGCGAAGAATTAAAAGACAGAGAGAGCTTGTTCCACGGCGGCTGCGCGAAACTTCTCTGGGCTTCTGCCTCAAGGTTTTTGTGAACGAGTTTAATCCAAATCTTTAAAACACGACATCTAGTGTCCTATCTGTTATTTTAATTAATCTTTTTCTAAATGTTTTCTTGCCTTCAATCCTACATGAATGGCTAAGCTCTTTTACGCTTTTCAATGGCAGCTGATTTCAATAAACTGATATTCAATAAACTATAGATTCAGACCAAAGGAGTAGTTTTTTTTTTTTTGGGGGGGGGGCTATGAGGACTAGGCCTCGGGCTTTTCTTGGAAAAGGGAAAACAATTATCCCCTCATGGAATGTCAAAATGAACCCCCTGGATAATTTTCTGTATACGTCCCAGAATTTCAGACACTTCATGGTCGTTTTCGGGTTAGACTGTAAACAAAAGTCTTGTTATTAATAAAGTTCTTAACAAAAAAGCTTTGATTAACATTATAAAATCAAACAGGGTTACCCACAAAGTATAAGACCTTGTACAGTAACAAATTTGAAGGAATTTCCTGCAGTGTTCAACTGGTTTCTCTCTTTAACAAACTATGCAAAAAAGACTTTATTTAAGATAAACCGAAAGGAAATATGTTACAATTCTTATCCTTTATGAGTAACCTTATACAAATATTACTTACGTACATTTAAAAAATTCACAACTTTTTCAAACATTCAAAAAAATGCAAAGAGAATATCCAAAAGTTCTATAAAATTTAAAATGTTTTGATATTCTTGTGAACTCTATAGTTCTCCATGGTCAATACCGGCTTAGAGAAAAGTACTTAAAAAGTCTACTGAGTGGCCAGCACAAAGTTTCCTACAGTTCCAACTTTACAGTTTAGACAGAGGAACCTCATTTTATACAAAAAGGAAAATTTCTGATTTTCCAGAATGGAAAATATTTTTTACTAAGCACCCTTCTTTACACATAGTTCAAACCTGGGATTTTCTTATAGAAAAAATTTCAATGTCACATTATCGTAATGATTTTGAACCAAACTTTTTTAACATCCATTTGTATTTTGATATTTACTTTTACGATTATAAGCATTGCTGCCAGCTGGTACAAATTCATTGGTTACAAATATCAATGTACAACTTACAAGGTGTCGACTGTTATAGTGTAGAGTATTGTTGACAATACAATAAATTATATATATATACACGGATACTGATTAGTATAAAGTATTATAAGCGGTACAATACGATAAATATCTATGTACAAGGTGTAAAGTGTAGAGAATTGTTAGTAGTACAATATGATAAATATCTATGCACAAGGTGTAAAGTGTAGAAAATGGTTAGTAGTACAATATAATAAATATCTATGTACAAGGTGTATAGTGTAGAGAATTGTTAGTAGTACAATATAATACATATCTATGTACAAGGTGTAAAGTGTAGAGAATTGTTAGTAGTTCAATACAATAGATATCTATGTACAAGCTGTATAGTGTAGAGAATTGTTTGTAGCACAATGCAATAAATATCTATGTACAAGATGTATAGTGTAGAGAATTGTTTGTAGCACAATACAATAAATATCTATGTACAAGCTGTATAGTGTAGAGAATTGTTTGTAGTACAATACAATAAATATCTATGTACAAGGTGTATAGTGTAGAGAGAATTGACACTTGTTCTGAATTGTTTAGACCCTGCTTTGATGTACAGTTATTATCCCCCAGAGGGTTAAATATTTAGTAATATCCTGTCAGTTAGGTATGGGGAAATACACATAGGGACAGATCTAGCCAGGGGGAATATAAAGATGATGGAAGGAGGGGGGTGGGGTGCACTGTATCAAGAAGATGAGAAGGGATAGAAGTAAAGGAAGGGGGGGGGGCAATGTTTCTAGGATAAAAGAGGGGATTTTAATTAAAGAAAAAATTATCTACAGTGTAACTGGAATCAAAAAGTCGTCTTCCTATTTCAGAGTTTTCTGGTCATCACTGTAGGGTAGTAAAGTTTGAAATGGGAAAGGGAAAAGTAAGTGTAGTAAGGATATAGGGGAAAAAGTAAGTGTTTCATATGGGAATGGGAAAAGTAAGTTAATCTATGGTAGGGAAAAGTAAGTTTATCAAGGGTAGGGGGAAAGTAAGTTAATAAAGAAAAAGAAATAAAATTAAAAGTAATATTATAGGGTCGGAATATAGAGAAATTAAGTTTTTCAAGAGTTGGTAAACAATTAAAGTGTATCAGGAGGGGAAGGGGGGTTAAGTTTATCAAAGGAGGGGATTATGTATATTAAGAGTAGAAGAGAGATAAGAAAATGAATTACGTTATGTAGAAAGATTGATGAAAGATGATATCTAGAGTGTCACAGGTAGACACGTGCTATGAATATATAATAATGTAGAAATGTTTATATAATTTCAAATTGCATAATGTTTATTTCTGAAATGTTTATATAATATTATATATTATATATACAGGATGTGTCAAAATATATATAATTTCTGCTTTATAATATTGGATATATCGGACTCTGTTAGATGTCAGGTAATTTCCCAAAGGATTTTTCCTCAGTGAGAACTTCTCAAAGGCATTTTTCCGAGTGGCAAATTCCCAAATGTGCAATTTTCCAAGCGGCAACTTCCGAAGTATGACCTAACCGCAGCGCTCGCCCCCTCCCTCAGTCTGGTCTATAGCCGCGGCGCTCGGCCTTCATCCTGTGACGCCTCAGAGGGCCCAACCTACACTTTGAGAAATTGCCGCATGGAAATTGCACATCTGGGAAGTTGCCACATGGCAATGACATAAAGATGTTTTACAATAGATGTCTATACACCATAAATCTGCAAGTAACATTTAAAGCGAAACCATAATTTAAATATAGCTTTTTTTCTCTTCTGCAAGCATCGTTGATTAGACCAAAGTTTAAAGGGTACCGGTGTGAACCGAACATAGCATTCTTTAAAATAAAGTTATACTTAAAATCGCGTCTACAGTCCCTTTAGTTGGGGTCAAAGTGGGGTCAATAGTGACACCTTGCTCTGATTACAAGCTGACGGGAAAAAACTTGGTGTTGGTTGGTCCTGATATTATTTTAGATTTAGCACAGCTCATCATATCCTGGTTCTTGGTAGGTAAAATATGTCTTGATATCATTATATTCAAGTTTCAAGCTTTTTATACCAGGCAGACAGGGAGGAGTGGTTTACGGAGTGTACAGATATTGCACCCGGATATAAAGCCATTTTTAAAATATTTTCAAATATAACAGTTTCGATGAATTAATAGCTCAATCATTTAAATATTTCAAAGAATTCATTAACAAAAGAACTTAGTCTTTGTCCCAAACTCAAGTTTCCAAATCCGTTTATCTTTGCCAACCAATCTATAATGAATTCTGTTCGATCAAATAATCTCAGTTAGAAATATCAAAGGTTAACACCACCAGGCTGCAAAGATATATAAATGGTAAAATTTGAGTTTGCGGCAATTTTAAGTTTTATGGAAAGAAGTTTTACTAAGATAGTTTCAAATTAATAACATTATTGTATTCACATAAAAAGGGGGGAGGGCGCCTTACACCCGCCCCCAGTTTTAAGGAGTTATTATAATTGTATATGTGGACCAAGAAGAATACAAAAATGAAGAATTTAGATTTTTGTAAAATTTTATTTCGTTATTTTGTTATTTAGTTAGCGATATTTTTTGTAAATGTTAATACTCCTTAGATGTCCCTATGCAGGGGTAAAATCTCACACCATGATTTCACATTTTTCAATAAACTTTTTAGATTATTAAAATCGAGTTTTAAAAAGTTAAAGATTTAAAAGTTTTAACTTCATCGGAAAGTTTGCCCTGAACTGAGAGTTGCAAAATTTACATATTTTGTCAAATATTATTACAGCAAAACCTTCACCTAGTCCTGATCCCTTATAGATTAACAAAATGACAGCAAAAAAGTTTTTGAATTTTAAATTAAACATAAAACACAAAAATATATATAATCGTACGCTTAAACATAGTTACAACTTTTTCAGAGAAAACTATAGTTTATTTGATTTTGTTTCTAGACCTTACAATCAAATAAGAATTCTGTTCAAAGGATTTGTCTATCCAAAGTTACCTTCAATTTGAAGCGTTAAAAGCCCTATTCACAATGATACTATGAGGGACAATATCATTATTCTCAGATAAAAAAGGGTAACTCATCAATAATAATTAGATAATGGTTTAGGTAATGGTACCGTCGTAAATAGGAGATATATGAAGCTTCACTATTAATTAAGCCGACAGTACCTTTAATCTACATAATAAAATAAGAAATTCGTTTATATGTTCCCTCTGGTCGGCCAAACGGCTGGACCGAATGGGCCGAAATTTGTTGTGGACACTTATGGGTAGCCTGGTGGTGACATGGCTAAAAAAAACATGTTTTTGGAAT